GCCACGCGAGCGGAAGGGGGGGCGGGGCGGGGAGCGCTCCCTACCAAGGGTCGTACCTCGATCTCGCCACGAAGGACGGCGTCCGGACCGGCCCCCTCAACCCAGTACTGGGTCATGGGCTGGTAGCCGGAGCCCGGGCGCTTGGCGGCATACTGGTCCACGGCGCAGAAGGCGTGGGCGCCGGCCTCGACCGCGCGCCAGTCCTGGCCGAGGGCCACGGCCGCCGCACCGACGCCATTCATGATGCCCTTGTTGTGGGTGGCCGCACGGAAGGGATCATCATGGGCGAAGGCCGCGGCCTCGACAATGCGCTGGGCCACCTGCAGGCCGTCGGACCCGGGCCGGGCCAGGGCCGCCACCGGGACCCGGAAGCTGGCCCGGGCCAGGCGGTGGATGGCCAGGTTGGAGAGGATCCGCAGGCCGGCCCGCGGGGCCAGGTCCCCGGCATCCCCGGCGGCCAGGCGCTCCAGCATCGGGGCCAGGCCCTCGGCCACGGTGTTGCACACATTGGCGCCCATGGCCTCGCAGACGGCCACCAGCAGATGGACCACCAGGTAGGGGGTCCGCGGGGAGCGGACCTCCAGGGCCGGGGTGTCTTGGTTGGCGGGGTCGGCCGCGGCGCGCGCGTGGCGCGCCTCGAAGGAGGGGCACACCCCGGCGTCGAAGAGGTCCTGGGCCGAGGCCAACCGGGCCGGGTCCACCGTGCGCACGGTCACCGACACGAGGCCGCCACCGCGCTTGGCCATGGAGGCGCAGAAGCGCGAGTTGGCCTCCTGGCGCAGGGCCTCCTGGGCGGCCAGGATGCGCTCGGCCGCGGGGGCCAGCTGCTCCTCCGGCAGGTCCAGGATCTGGACCTGGGCAATCATGACGTTGCGCGGGTCCGAGGTGCTGGCGGCGAAACCACCACCGGCGAGGATGGTCTGGCAAGCGGGCAGGGGTGAGTTTGTCGGGGCGTGTGTCTGCATGTGCGGCCATGCGGCCTTGTGCGGGCCGCCTCAGGGCGGGGGCGGGGGAGTCGGGGGAGAGGCGCAGCAGGGAGGAGGACACACCTTGGCGGCGTTGGAAGCGGCGGCAATGACGGACGGCTCCTCGACGGCCATGGGCACGACGGTCGGGCGGCCGTTGATGACGAAGTTCAAGCCGACACCCACCGGCAGGCCCATGGTACTAGGTGCGCAGGGTGGAGGAGCCACGTGGGGTGGTATGTTAGAGGGGCACAAGGGGAGAGGGGGCGGGTCGAGGGCCACACTGGCAGCGGCATAGCCGGCACATACCCGACGCAATTCTCCACCATGTTGTCGGCCTGGTCGGTGGACAGGGGCAGAAGGGGGAACTCCCCGCCAGCGGCCTGGATTTCCGGCTCGAACACCTCGGGGAAGGCCTGTTGCAGGATGGCCCGGCGCTCGGCGACCGAGAGCTTGTAGAAGCCGCTGGCCCAGGCGGGCGCGGCGGCGGGGCCGGCATGGTGAGGGGGAGTCATGGAAGCTGTGTGTGTGTGTGGGGGGGGGGAGAAAGCGGGGGCGGGGGCGGGGGCGCGGAAGAGGCTCAAGAGCGGAGGGGGGAGGGGGAGAAGGGATGCCCGGCCCACGGGGGCCTGCGACTCCCCATGGTTGGTCTTGAGTTGGGTGAACTGGCGCATTTGTGCGGAGGAGGGCCGCCTGCGGGAGGCGCGAGCCGCGGGGGAAGGGCATGCACGGGGGCCGGGCCACACACTCTGTCCCCGGGGACGCCCTGCGTGGGGGTGGCCTGAACCGCCCGACGAGAGCGGCAAATGCAGGGGCACCGTAGCGGCGCGGCGCACGGCGGGGCGACCGGCGGGACCGGCTCTCGGCCAGCAACATCAGGCGATTCTGCGTTCGGACCTGGGACGGTCCGCCGGGACCCGGGGCCGTAACGAATGTTATTTCTCATCGCCCCCTTGCGTCGGCAGTTGGGGAGCCAAGTCGCCGGCACTTGCGGCGCGGGTTTGCCAACGGCGATCTGCGGCCGGGGAACCGGGGGCGGGGGGCGGGGGGAGGCCGGGGCAGCCCGGGGCCGTGAGCTGCGCGGTGCAAGGCGACGGCGGCGGCGGCGGCGGCGGCGGCGGCACGCGAGAAGGGCCGCACTGCAGCATGAACACACACACTTGGGCCATGCTCCGTGGTGGATTTCCCCCTCCCTCCCCCTCCGCCCTTCCTTGCCTCCCGCTTCCTTCCCCCCTCCCCGGCTGACTTCTCCTCGGTCAGGACACCACCCCTCTCGATGGCTGCCGCGCGCCATGCCCTCTGGCTCGACGGGTCAGTGGCCCTTCCATTAAAGGTTCGCCTTGTGTTCCCCTCCTCCGCCCATTGCTCGGCGGGGCTCCTCTTTGCGCACCCCCCCTCCCCCCCCCCCCCCCCCCCCCCCCCCCCCCCCGGCCGAACCCCTGACACGGTTTTCATCCATGCGTCCTCCTGGATGGTGGGTGCTGTAGGCTCTGCTTGATGAGGCCATTCGCCAGGCGATAGGTGCTCAGGCCGGTGGCTTGGATGTCATCATCGCCCGGCTGGTGCCTGACGCTGAGGATGGCACCCGGGCCGCGGTTTGTTCGAGGACTTCCAGCCTGCAAGACCCGAGCGGCGGGTTCGATCGCTTCGCCGAGGCCCTGGCCCGGATGTATGGCCTCACGACGGGCATGTGTGCCAGGCTGCACCAGCCGCTCTTCCCGGTGCGCATTCTCTTCGAGGGGCCCATCGTGCGATCGCCGCCCGGGCCCGGGCCGCGCCATCTGCCCGAGTACCAGCACCCGGAGCCCGGTGTGGCCCTTGTCCACGAGGAGCCCCTGTCGTCATTGACGTCGGGGTCTCCGGCGGCGCCGGGGCCCAGCCTGCTGCCCCTGGCCGGGGTGACATACTCCTGCCTGTATGTTCCCCCGGGCTGCGGTGGCGCTGGCCAGGAGGAGGCGGCGGTGGCCGGGCTGTCGGCGCGGGGCATCCCCCGGCCGCCTGTCATCCTGCCGGTGTCGGGCCCCGATCCCGGCACAGGGGCCCAGCCGGGGGAGGCCCCGCTGCGCGATCTTTTCCGGCTGGACTGGGCGCCGGCTTGGTCCCGATGCCAACAGCGCGTGGGCTGTGGCGGGGCCTTTGACCATTTGCACGCCGGGCATCGGGTTTTGCTCACGATGGCGTGGCTGTCGGCCGACGCCACGTCGCTGGTTGGTGTCACCGGTGCGTGTGCCTTCTCCCTCGTCGCCCCTGTCGGCCATGGATGGGCACTCTCTGACTGGCGAGCTCGCAGACGACAATATGATCCGCCACAAGGCCGACGTGGAGCATGCCCAATCGGCTGCCGAGCGCCGGCGCGGCGTGGCCAGCCTCCTGGCCGCACTGACCCTGCTCGGTCGGTCCCGGCCCGGGGACCGGGCCACCACGGCGCCGCCCTCCTGGGCCGTGGTGCCCATCTCCGAGCCGCTCGGGCCCACGCGAGATGACCCCCTGCTGACGGCGCTCGTCGTGTCGCGGGAGACCGCCTCCGGGGGGCAAATGATCAACGACGTCCGGGCGGCGGCCGGGCTGTCCATCCTACGGGTGTTCACAGTGCCCCTGGTCCCGGGCGAGGGGCCAGATGACAAGGTCTCCTCGACGTACCTGCGCCGAGTGCTGGCCCAGGCCGCGGCTGCCGCCGAGGCGCGAGGCACCGCGGCGCCTGCCGGGCCCCCCTCCGGGCCGCTTGCCAGCCCGGCCCCCGCCGCTGGCGCCCGGCCAAGTGCCCCGGACCGCTTGTAAGAGGCCAATAAAATATCCCCCCCCCCCCGCCCCAAACACCCCCCTCCGGAGGCGGCTCGATCGCCGGATGCAAGGGCGCCGGGGGGCATCCGATCGCGATCGCCATGGTCACGTGCCGCCGCGGGTCCTTTCTTTTAAAACAGAACCGGCCTTTCAACAGCAATCCTCGCCGGTGGCGGGCCGGGCGGTCGCCCCCCCCCCCTGTTGGGGCCACCCGGCGGTGTGTCTCGCCAGCCCGGCGGGCGGCGGGTTGGCCGGTGGGTTGGTCGGTCGGTTCCTGGGGGCATGGGGGGTGGTGACCGGTGGATGGATGTGCTCGGGCCGGCGTCTAGTTTCCGCGCGAGGGAGGGGAGATCGCGGCGGTCTGGCCGGGTCGATCGCCCTCTCTCTCGGCCCAGTGAAGAGCGGCCCCGCCGCCATGCCGGGGGCTTGGCCCGGCCCTGCAGCCATACCTCCTCACCCGTCCTCCCCTCTGTCTCCCTTCTGTGCCTCTTTTTTCTGCCCTCCTCTTTTTTCTGCCCTCCTCTATTTCCCGCCCCCCGCCCGTCACCCCTCCCGTTCATCAGCCTCATCCACCTGGCACCCGAGGGGCGCCCCCTTCGTGGAACATGATTCGGAGTGGGCGATCGGTCCCGGTTGTCGGGACTGTGAATTGTGCGCGTGCGAGATGGCCTTCTTCTGGTTGCACCCCCCGCCCGCCCGCCCGCCTTCCCCCCTGCGTGCTTCCCAGCACTGACTCCCTCTTCTCGTGGACGCACATCCAAATGCACAGTGGGCGAGTCCCATGCAGCCGGGCCTCCGGACTTCGCCCAGCTGGAGCGCCACTTCCTCGATCAGTTGTCGCCACTCTTCCGGGTGATCATCCCGGCGGCCGACGCGCCGACGATCTCCTCCCACACGAAGCTCACCTCGAGTGCGTGCTCGCCGTCCTTCCATGTGCCCTTTCTCTGCCCCCGCCGCGCCTTGATTGTCGGCCCTGCCTTGTCACGCCCTTACCCATGTGTCCCCCTGCTTGTGTCCTGGCTGCCGTCATCCCAGCGGCCAACACCCTGCTTGAGGCGGGCGCACCCCGGTGTGGCGACATCATTGGTCGCATCCACACCGGCCTGGGTGACTGCCTGCGAGATAGCCTGGAGCATGTCCCGCTGCCGTCCTCCGCCGACGAAGCAGCTCACACGCGGCTGCTCGATGCTTTCCTCTTGTACGCCCGGTCGCGCCGGCTTCTTTTCACTTCTCTTCCCCCCCCTTCCCGCGCCCCCTGCCGCCTCTTTTGCTCGGCCGACCTCTGCCTCGATCGCTCCCCTCATGCTCCTTCCCTCCCGCTCCCTCCGCCAATGCGAACCGCGGCCTCAGCATCAGCGAGACCTTTGCAGCCCGGGTCCGGCAGATCGGCCTGATCGTCCGGCCGCTGGAAATCCTCTACCAGCGCAACATCTCCAATCGGCCCTTCGCCGACACATGCCAGGACATCTTGCGGTACGCGTGCTCTGGCCCCCCTCAGCGGGTCCCCTCCCCCGCCCCGTCCTGCT